GGAGAACCATTTTGCAGATTTAATTTCCATTTTCGTAAACAGCATTCAAAACTCTATCGATTTATCTGGGTCTGAATTCAAAGTTCCAAGATAAGTAGACTACCCCTCCCTGGTTAGATGCTCCGGATAGGTATCTTTCTTCGGGAGTGTAACCATGAAGAGTGCGATCTTGCTTGCAAGCTCCACGGAGTCCGTTCTCTCCTGCCTTCCGTATGAGGCAAAGATGGCCGTCTTAAACATGTTGCTTGTGGTAGCTCGCCTTGTTGTGAAGGGATGCGCCGATTTAAAGTATACTAGTATGTTCCTGTTTTCGATACCATTTGCTACGGTAGAACCCCCGTCCAAGCGAGCTGGCTTTCTGTATCTTAAGGAGAGGGAACCTATTCTCTTTCTGCCTGATGAATGTGAATTTAACGTTTTCTGCTTGGCTGTTCAGTAGGTCATAGCACGTGTTCATTTCTTGTCACGTGCTATGATCTCGACGTCGTCTCAACGTGATCAATGTTCACGTGTTCAGCATTTTGCACTCTGACTGCTGGGAAAAAGCCGAAACGTAAGCAGAATAAAAATTGGCTTCTCATCTTGGTCACAGGATTGGGGGTGTGCGCCAATCGTGCGTCCGAGAGTGCGCGCGGCAAATTGCGCGGCGGAGTTCGTGGAGAATTTGGACGACTCCGGCGCCTATGATTGGGGCCCAAATCTGAAGTAAGGTAGATAAGTAAGGTCAGCTGATCCTACTATTCTACTGTACTTCGAAATTGGGCCCAAATAATAAGCGCTAAAGTCGTCAGAACAGTTATGGGTTTTGCCGCGCAATTTGCCGCGCGCACCCTCGGACGAACGACTTGACCGTCCCCCAGTTTCGACGGGCGCCAGCAACGAAGCGCACCCATGCCGAAAAGGTAGTAGCGGAGCATAGCCTAGAGCACTGCCTTGTTGAATGGATATCAGTGCATTAGGTCAATACGACGGAGGCATATAGGGTGCTAAGTGGGTTGGGGGGACCACGCGGTGCGGCAGGCGGCGCGGCACCCTGCGCACTCTCCAGCGAGATAGTAGACAGGGAAGAGAAGTCGAGCCCGGAACGGTGTTTAGGGACGTCTCATAATTTTTTATGTTGTGACTGTATATTTTTTACCTAATTTTAGGAAAGGGAGGGGCTCCGGGTTGGTGAGCCAATTGGTCGTTCAACTTTCATCTCATCTCAGCTTTTTGCACGAGACAACCATTCACCCACCCCCAGAGCCCCTCCCCTTCTTAAAAAATAGGTTTTATCAGCTCAGAAGAAGTGTATCCATAATATGCAAGCATATTGTTTGTTCTGAATCACGAAACTTACCAGTACAACCTTACCATTCCTTCCCAGACTCAGGCACACTACTATCTTGCTGGAGAGAGCACAGGGTGCCGCGCCGCAGCCGTGCCGCGTGGTCCCCCCAACCCACTNACCAGGGAAGGATCCCAAGTCGAAGTGGCCATTTGGAATGAGACCTACACTGCTAGTTTTTGGATGTTGAGTTCAAATCTGCTTTCCAAATTTGCTGAGCATTTTTCTGAACAGAGTTATGAGTGTGGTTTCATAGAGCTTAACATGAGAAAACTTAAATTACCTGGATGCTCTTTTCCTCTCAACGGCGGCTTGGTTAGTTGTGAGCGTGACGCTTTATGGACGATAGGCTAGGGATCGGATTTTTCGGGAGACGAAATTTTTGCATTACATAGAATTTTTCCCTTAAGGATTAAAAAATACTCTTATGATGAGATTATCACGTTTTATGACCTTTTACTGCCTTTGCTGATACCTCCTCCTACCTGTTACCGAGTGGGATATTCCTCCGTGCGCAAAATTTGGAGGTCCGTTAGGAAAAATGCATATGATGAGCAATGATGATGCTAGAGTGGATGTATGCTAGATTGGGTGCGATGGTGCATAGCAGCTCCGTACTCACCAACACCGGCGCTGGTGATAGTGGACTCGAAGATCAGAAAGCTTTCACCTTAACTCCACAAAAGCAGGTGAAGGAATCGACACCCTGCTCGAGGCTACCACGAGGCTAATGCAGCCCGATAGAAGCTTATTTCTCATTTCCTTTTGAAAATATGGTTAAACCACCACCTCATATGAAATAGCTCATAATCTCAACTTTTGCGTGTACACACGAGACCCCATTCCTCGCTCATTGGCGATTTTCCTCTTTCACTTCTGTCCGGCTAGATTCAGGAAATTTCTCATATATTGATGGTATGCCGCCGGCTACTTAAGCACTCACCCGGATGATTTTGCGACGCCTACACAATTCTGTTTTCCATCTGATTTGAGGTCAGTAAGTGTAAAGCAATGGACTGTGACGAGTTCTTTTTCAACCGTTGCTCCCATTGCGAGAAGCTTCTTTTTTTCAAGCATTTTGTGCTAGAGTATCACATTTGTTCATTCAAGTGACAAAAGTTATCCTACTGTGAATATAGAGTGCATGGACATGCGAGTAAAACTGAAGTATTACTTTATGTGGGTAAATATCAGTAAAAGCATTAAAAGTCATAAAACGTGATAATCTCACCATAAGAGTATTTTCCAGTCCTTAAAGGAAAAAATTCTATCTAATGCAAAAATCACGTCCCCAAAACACTCGAACCCTAGCCTGTCGCCCATAAAGCGTCACGCTTACCACTACACCAAGCCTCCGTTTAGATGTGAGGAACATCCAAGTAATTCAAGTTTTCTCATGTTAAGCTCCCTGGAACCACCCTCATAACTCCGTTCAGAGAAACGCTCGGCAAATTTGGAGTGCAGATCTGAACTCAGCATCCAAAAACACGTCTAGCAGTGTAGGTCCCATTCCAAATGGCCACTTCGACTTGGGATCCTTCCCTGGTTAGCACCGGCATATAGTGGGAGTTATTCGGGAATTTGATGTCAGAACCTGATCGGTTCGTAGGGGAAGTACCACCATTTCATTGAAGAGAAGCATACCAAATGGCTAGATCGAAAGAAGCACTCGTGCGAATAACGCGCTGCAAAAAACTATGCAGTGCCGCGAGTGCGACGCACACAACGGAGGATGTTTGAATTGTTACCATCAATAACACGTGCTCTTCTTCCAAGAGGCATAACGAGTGTGGAGTCAACAGTTTAATTCCGTTAACCTGCATTCTTCGGAATCGGTGTTTACAAAAGACTTAAGCTACCAGTTATCGTAAAGATAACTTATTGAAACAATAATTTCCAGCTGTCAAAATTTTCGCGCAATTCCCTGAATCAAGATGGCGGGGGAAGAACGTGAGCGAGAACTGGCAGAAATCGTTCTTTGGCCGACTACTCTCTCTCTTTTTGGAGTGTTTTTGTGATATTTCTCTGTCGTTTACACCTCTAGAGGTTGCTATCGAGAAGCTCTTATTCCTGAACTACTATCCTCTTGGAGTTCAAAATACGAAGCTTTGCTATTTGTAGTTTTTTGTTAGACTGGATTTGTTCTTTGTATAACCTGAGGGATTGAGCTGCAGCTTTGAGCAGTGGAGAGGTGAGAAGGCATATTCATTAAATCTCACCCATCGATTTTCTGTGCTTTTGTGTTTGTGTTCCGCGGCCTTATTGATTTCGTATATTTGAGCTAAAAATCACAATTCGTCCTAACAGCGATTTTCTTGGGGTCGCATGCATGTGAGTTACATTTAGGACGGATGTATTTGCTTACACCACAATCTAAAGACGTTTTGGTCTTATGGTTTGTAGCATCTAGCACTTTAAGCGACTTATCGGTTTGAAACGGTTTAATCGTCGAATAGTCGACTGATTGCAGCTACGCATTCATGAACAATTAAATCATAGCAGTTATGATTAAGTTTCCGTTCAAGATATTTGGTAGGAACTCAGACTTTCGTCGCAGCTTTCAACGTCCTTCGCTGTAGTAGAGCGCGCTGATATGTTCGTATGGTTTTCACCGATCAGACTAGGATTTCATTCAGTGTTTTTAAGGTAGATTTGAGACTAAAGTTCGCTTCGATCCTCTCATTTTTTAGCAGTTTTATTATCGTTTTACGAGTCATTTCGTGTTCCTGTACGTTCGCCAATTTGATGTTTTTAAATTCAAGGAAACATTTGGTTTTGAAACGCTGGTTGAATAGCATTAATCCTTACTCTTACTCAAATCTGAAATGGATCAGTTGACTTCTCTCTAGCGGATGGTTTTGCTTTTCAGACCAATTTGTGGTGTCATAATGTAATGATGCGGTATCCCGTGATTAATAATGGCCAACTGTTGGATCAGTTGATAAGAACTCTTCATTCTAGGAAGGAAAAGCCAAAGGACAGGGGAAGCGAAAGCCAAGTCAACATGTCCACCCCAACGTCTGACATTGCTAAAGTTCCCGAGATGAAGCCACAAATCAAAATAGGCCATTACATTCTCAAGGATACTCTTGGAGTTGGCACCTTCGGTAAAGTAAAAGGTATCTTATTGTTCCCTATTTTTATTTTCGGCCCTGTCACAGGTTTTGTTCAGGATGACACTTACATAAACTGATGGCTTCATTGTCTGTACTAGGTGGCTGCCTCTCTGGGTCTCAGTCTATGCAGGCTTTCCCTTTGTAATTCACACAAAGATCCAAGCGTAGCCTACCTACTGCCAGGAAATGGAATGTTTTCTGATTATAGGACATGAAGGGAGCTCCTGTTGCCTTTTTCTACTACTCAACAGAGTAGTTCAGTGACTCCTAATGCGAGCTATTCCTAAGCAGAAGTTCCATTGTTTTGTTTTGTCGCAGTTTGGAAAATGTATAGCCTTCTTGTAGTATCCCTGATAAGGCTGCTTTCTATAGAATGCTACCTGCGGAACTTAAAAATGGGATCACATTTTTGCGCTGAGGGACGCGAAGGGTGACTCTGTCTTCACTAAGCAATCAACAGCCGATGTGTTAACGGAATATTTCGCCTCAGTTTATGCTATTCCGCAAACGTCCTAGGGTAAAAGCTACTCCTCAGTGATGCATTTCCCCCATCATGAATCAATGCCTATGGTTTCATGAAGAAGACATTTTAGATTATACATATACGAAAAAGGCCAAACTCTTACTCCCTTAGCCCGGATGGTGGGCCTCTATATTTCCTGAGGCGTGTTTCTGATGTAGTTGTTAGTCCTCTCAGGTACATCATGAACATTTCTCTAATCAGGATTGAAGTTCCTTGCATCTGGAAGCATTCGTACATAACTACAATACCAAAGAAACACCCATATGACGTTGCAAGTAATTTCAGGCCGAACAGTATCACTTATACCAGTCGGACCGCCTGGCTAACGCCGGACTTCCCTCTTTCTTATGGTGTCGCCCGGCTTCGCCGGGCGGTCCTCCTTCCTGTGAGGTATTTGCTGTGCGTAAATCACACTTCCGATTCTACTTTTTCTTTGAAAGCTCTACACCCTCAGAATTAGCTCCGAATTGGGAGCGATTTTTCTGTAAGCCATCTTCGCTATGTCCGGTGAGAACATCGTATAATGTCACAAAGGCGATTATTCAGAGAAAAAAAGGAGAGATGGGCTGAGGACGCGTACCTCCGTGAAATTTCCTTGCAGATGGAATACTTTGAACGCCCTGTGACCAACTGGGTGCGCTTCGTTGCGCGTGTCCGTCGAAACTAGGTCACGCCGCAGCCGTCGCACACGGCGAGTCGGCCCGCGATATTTGACGACGTCGCAATTGTCACTGGGGCATACGCTTTGCGTTTGGTCCACGGCAGTCAGTTCAAGAAGAAGATAACACAGACAACTGCGAATCATTTGCTCCAATGACACTTGGTGGTACTGTAATGTCATCTCGAGACCTCAGTGTGACGCGCCGCGCGCAAAGTGGGCGGGGTTTTTTCGACGGACACGCGCAACGGACGTTCTCCATGACCAACTCGTCAATTTTCGCGCAAACCCCGCCCCTGTGGGTCAGGTCCTTTCCTGCAACCTATACGAAGTGTTTCCATCCTGTCGCCTGTACTCCTACCAAGTTTGAACGCTCTAGGGCCAAATTGACAATTTTCGAGCAATCCCCACCCACTGTGGGCGATGTCTGCTCCTGCCACCTACAGTGAGAATTCCCATCCTGTTCCCACAACTCCTACCAAATTTGAACGTTCTAGATCCACGGGGACAGAAGTTGAATTTTCGCTCAAACTCCGCCCATTGTGGGTTCCAAACCATAAGTGTTTCCATCCTGCCGCCTGAATTCCTGAATTTGAACGCTCTAGGTGCGCGGGGACAGGAGTTGTGAATTTTTGCACAAACCCCGCCCGCTGTGGGCGGAGTCCGGTCCTAACACCCACTAAAAGTGTTCCCATCCTGCCGCCTGTACTCCTACCAAATTTGAACGCTTTCGGTCCACGGGGACAGGAGTTATGAATTTCCGGTCAGACACACTACACATACATACGTACATACAACATACATACATACATACATACATACATACATACATACATACATACACAAACACACCAACAGACACACTTAGCCGATCACATAAGTAGGATATTGCCAGGTTGCTTGAGAAACTGTTGAAAAAGAGAATATTGGAACACTTGGACCAGCATCGCGTCGTTAGCCGAAATCAGCATGACTTTGTCAAATATAAGTCAACTATAACTCAGCTTCTTGGAGCTCTTAATGGTTGGACCTCAGGAATGATTAGAAGAGAGATGTTCATATCATCTATTTTGCCTTCATGAAGGCATGCGACAAAGTGCCTCATAACAAACTGTTCTCCAAGCTGGAAAGTGTTGAGATTAAGGGCTTGCTGCTGAGATGGTTGCGTGAATCCATCACCAACCGTAGCTTTCAGGTCCGCATCAATGATTCTTTTTCTTCTGTACAAAGAGCATCAAGTGGCGTACCGCAAGGTGGCGTACTCTCGCCTTCACTTATCAGCTTATATACTTTTGAGCTTAGTTTTTCAATTATTCCCCTCGGAGTAGAGTGTGAGGTCTTGGCGGATGATCTCAAAATTTATAAGGTCATTCAAACTGAGGCTGATTATTGTGTTCTTCAGAAAGCAATTGATGTTGTGAGTTAATCATCTGAAGAGTGGGAACTTACGTTATCAATTGAGAAAACAAAGGTTTTGATGATGCCCTCATCTACGCAGTCTCCCAGCTTTTGCCACCGTATTGACGGGAGAGCCCTTAGATGGTTGACAGAATTTCTGATTTGGATTTTATTATCTCAAACAATCATAGTTTTGATGACCATATAAATGTGATCATTAGCAAGGCTTCCAATGAAATTTACAATCTCTTCAAAGGCGTTAGCTGTTGGGGTTTGCAGGTTCTCCTTTGGGCTTACAAGACTTGTATTCGTTCTGTGTTGGAATATCGGACCGGTATATATTCTCCTCCCAAAATGTCTTTTGTTAAAGCGTTCGAGAAATTTCGGGATGACTACCAGGAAATTGGCGATTTGAATCCGCGGCTACAACTATGCTGAGATACCTAATAGCTCGAGCCGTAATGAAATATTAGATTTGCAGTCGCGCGAACGAAGAAGTAAAATAAATGATTTATACTATTCTATAAAATTCTCACCGGTAAAGTATCAATTGACAGAAATATATTCGGGAAATAAAGAAATATGTTCGGGGCAGGGTGCGCGTTCTCGTAGAGTCAGTGTCAGAATATATCTTGCTAGATCTACACGAGCATTGGGATTCATTTCCTTTGTCATCGTACAGGTTCAGCTTTTAATAAATTTAACAAGCAGGGAGGTATGCCGAAAACGGTTGCTCAATTTCGCAAACTAGCGAATCAACTTCCATTCTAAACAGTTTGTTGTATTCGGCATTCTTGCTGTTGTATTTACCAAGTTTTTTTTTCTTTTCTCCTTCGCTTTTTTCTTTATTGATCTGTATCTCTAGCTGCTTTTTTGCTAATTTTCGTTTTAATTGGTCCAGGGTTCCGGACTAACCATTAGGCTATCCTTCACCGGAATTCCTTTGGCTTGTCTAGTTCCACATGATGCTTTGCTCATGTAATAAATCAAAGCAAATCCTATATGCACGGCTCGTACATTTATGGTTCGCGGCCGATATCGGCCCGAGACTTCGAGCCTCTTTTTGAGTATACTTCCTGGTTTGTTAATGAGTACCTAATTTGCTTGAAGTATCAAAACTAAATTTTCATTTTGGCTGATTTTCGCGATCAATTGGTGCCACTGCGTTCTTGATGGCTTGATCGCAGTGACTTATTGAAAAAGACTAAATCTGAAATAATTCCGTGTTAGGTTTCTGAGACGATTGCTTCTTTGAGCACTGAATCACACCGAAAAAAGTGCTGAAGTGCTGATAACTGATACTGACCGCCTTATGTTGACTTGATCAGTGAACTACGCCTATTTTCTCCGGGAGACGAGCTGAAGCGCGAAAATCTAAAGGTCAGGATGGGTGCAGTTGTATCCGTCAAGGTTAGCCTAGCATTGATTATATAGTCGTGCAAAAATGATGGGAAGAGCCTTGCCATTGCCACTCTTTTCATTCAAATTTTGCTTGGAGAGATCCTGTTCATAATCCATCTCTTTGGCATCTTCCATAGTCCACGATCGGTCGCGTGACTGGTCGCGGACCCATCTCACGAGCG